CTGAACTATTAATTGAGTCCACTTAGTCGCTAAAGTATATAAATTAAAATATATTTAGTCGCTAAACTATTGATTAAATCTATTAAATTTTTAAAATATTTAATTCAAACCTATTTAATTCTTGAAAAAATTACAAAAATAAAATATAAGCCCATAAATATAATAAATTAGTAAAAGATACTATCTAGTTAAAATTTTATTTCAAAAAAAAAATCTTAAAGTTTTATATTGTCTTCGAAAAATGGATGTCAGTTCTTCTAGTGAATTTTTTTTATAAGGACAAAGGTAATTATGTATAGTATTTTATTACTTATATACTACAATGGCTACTTGTTTTCCTTTATTTAGTATTATATACTGAATTTCGTTTATAATTTTTTATTGATTGTTTTTAAGTTTTTTGATAAATTCTTTTTATAACTTAATTAATATATTATTTTATTTTATTATAATTTGTAGCGAAGTGTCATTATTTAAATTATCTAATTCTACTTATTTTGTATGTCTAATACATAATTTTATTGACAAGACTAAGAAATCAGAATCTAATACTAATTTAAACACGCAACAGGAAAAAAAAAAAAAAAACCTTTTTAAGATAAAATAGAAATTTAAGATTTTTCTAGAATAAAATATTAACTTGGTAGGATTTTTTACTAATTTATAATACTTATGAGTTTATATTTATTTTTTTAATCATTTCAAGAATCAAATAAGTTTGAATTAAATATTTTAGGAATTTAATAAATTCAATTAATAGTTTAAGGACTTAATTTATATATTTTAGGGACTAAATAGACTTAATTGATAGTTCAATGATTAAATAAATAATTTGGTGATAGTTTATAGATAGAAAGTGTAATAAATCCTAAAAATAAATTGTAAATCTCTTTAGTGCAATGCAAAATATTAATGTGTTATTCTGCCATTGGGTTAAAGTCATCTTTTTGACTTTTTATTTTTTTTGAATCATATTTTATTTTTTATATTTAAAAAAAAAAAAAAAAATAATAAAAAAAAAAGAGTAAAAAAATCCGCTTTTGTTACTCCTAAGTCTAATGAACCCAACAAAATCTGTGGGTCCATACGTTATGACTTCCGCACCAAGTAAATATTATGCAGATATTTTTTGATAATTTATTACTCTCACACACAATATTAGTATTGTATAAAATTTTTGATAATTTTATTTAAATCTCTAATGTTGCTAAATAAATAATAATTGTTGTAACTAACAACTCATCAATTTTTTTGAGTTCTTATTATAACAAGGGCAATGATTGGTGGTCACAAATTTTGTAGTTCAAATGGTTCGAAAATGTCAAAACGACGTCGTTTTGGGTACAAAACGACGTCGTTTTGGGTACAAAACAACTCTGAAAATGCCAAAACGACGTCGTTTTGACATTTTCAGGCTATTTGAACCACAGAATTTGTGACCACCAAACATTTTCCTTATAACAATTATAATTTATTTAGTGATGTTAGGGATCTCAAATAATTTATCAAATTTTTTATCAAACCTCTCAAATGGATGTAAGACCTACACATGTGAATTTATGTAAGTCCTAAACCCATGTAAAAGATTTAATAAAAAATTTAATAGATTATTTTAAGTTCATAGCATTTTTTTTATTTATGAAATTTGTTACAGCTAACAATCCCATGGAGCGAAGAGGGATAATAAATGTTCCTCATAACTTAAAATCTGTCATTAATACTTTCTGTTATACAAAATGAAATGCATTTAATGGTAAAAGTAAAATGTCTAAGATGCGTCTAAACTACACTCTTTGAAATTTAGAAAAAATATAATAAAATTTATGTACATATTTTTTTGGGTGAACATAAAACTTATAAATATAATTATAGTGATCCCCTTCTTAATAAAGTTAAATGAATCAAAATTAATAAAAATGATATGAAGACAAAAAAATAAATAAAGTAAAACATATATTTCAATGTAAAAAATATAACAATATCATTTTTTCATTTATATTACTAACGAATTTTTAATCAAAATGAGATTGTGTGAATTAAAATATTAAAAGAAACAAATATAATTAAGTCAGATTTACAAAACTAATTATATTTTATCCAGAATTTAAAAGAAACGGTGTAAATTACCCTTAAAATATCAACATCACATTTCAAAACCACCATCCTCAACACCTCTCTGACCTACGTTCTCTGTTTTTCTTTTTCCTTTTATATATATATATATATACACTACTCCTTTTTCATATCTATTGTGTCTCTCCTCATTTTTCAAATTTATATATATAAGTATATGCATATATGCAAAAATATGCAAGACGTATGGGTAATGCTATGGGTGTATACTATATACTACAAGTTATGAAATTTGTGGAATTGATCATCACAAATTTCATAACTCAATCCTATGAGAATTATAACCGGAAAAAAAAAATTGTATAACCACGTTCTCTGTTTTTCTTTTTCCTTTTATATATATATATATATACACTACTCCTTTTTCATATCTATTGTGTCTCTCCTCATTTTTCAAATTTATATATATAAGTATATGCATATATGCAAAAATATGCAAGACGTATGGGTAATGCTATGGGTGTATACTGTATACTACAAGTTATGAAATTTGTGGAATTGATCATCACAAATTTCATAACTCAATCCTATGAGAATTATAACCGGAAAAAAAAAAATTGTATAACCAAACAATACAAGTATAATCAAATGTTTTTGGATCTTAATCAAATAATGTTTACAATAGATCATAACTAACACATTAATAAGTCATAATTGAGAAGTTTATAGAACTTCCTAGAACACGGGACATATTAAATGTATAGAAATTTATCATAGACAACAACTAAACCAGAAAACAACTCACATTTAAACTAACCCTACGGAGTCGAGATGACAATGGGTAGGGTTGGTTTGTAATGCTCTACCCTTGTTCCTAATCATATCATATGCAGGATAAATTGGAGCGGTAGTGAAAGTAGGGACGAATTAATTTTATAATCTTAAAAATAACAGCATTAATAATTCCCAAAAAATGATATATTTTGAATATTAATTTGTAAGTGATAAGATATAAAAGATGTACAATGAAAACCAAAGGAGTAAAAATGAGTATTTGTAATATTTGTTTTATTATATTTAAACATTTTAAATTATATAAATTTAATCTAGATGGTGAGGAGATAAAACCGGATGGCGAGAAAAATCTGTTCCTACATGAAAAGATTTAAAAAATGTAAAAAAAATAAATAAATAAGCGAAAATAATTGTTTTAAGTGTACTAGTTTAACCTTTAATTTTATTATATTAAAAAAATAAATTATATAAAATATATATTTAATAAATATAATCAAGACTGAAACTGGATAAAATAGGCTGGGAGAAAAACCCATCCCTGCCTCACTTTTTCATTAGGGCAAAAAAAATCCATGCCGACACTTTTTTATTAGGGCAAAAAGAATTCATGCCGGCCAAAACAATGGATGCAAGGGCGGGACATCCCTACCTACAATTGTGGATTCAGTGATCATCTCTATGAAATGTTCTCCCAACATTACCACCGCCTACATTTCACAAAAAATATAAATCATAAAAAATAAAAGAAATTTCATTTTCTAATCCAAACTATACCCATCTAATCAATTTCACATACGAACTTTTGATATTTCAATTTACCACATAACCTATTTAAATAATGATCAATTTCTACCATCACATTTAAATGGAAAAAAGTTACTAAAAAAAATTATATTTTGGCCCCAAATTTCAAATTATAGATCCAAACTCACCCTCTCCTATCCAAACTCACCATCTCTTCTCTCTGCACCTCAACAACTCCGCCAACCATCACTGTCGCCGGCTAGCCCTCATCCTTCCATCATTGGACGAGGCGGGGAGGCCTTCTTGGTAACGAAAAGATTTGAATTTTGGGTGCTCGAGGCTCAAAAACGAAATCAACCAACAAGACTTGAAGAACCAATCACTAAAATATCAAGCATAGAATCAGTTTGAATCTTGTTTAATGCTGAATTAGTCGAACCTTTTGGGCTCTTGAGCTTCTTCACACTATCTTCCAACATTGCCAAGCACCCAAATCTTCCTTTCCACCCGTTAACACCAAATGTTGTTGCTTCAATTTCAACCCGGTCTAATCAATTATCGCCATTGAATTGGGTTGGTACGAAGACGAACAAGTACCAGGATTTTAAGAAGTTTGTTTCTGATGATTGTGAGAAGAAGGAGAAGCTAAAGGAGGTAGTACTATTGTTGTTGTTGGTGTTTTTGTGAGGAGGAAATGGGTTTAGCAATGGTGATGAAATTGGGGCAAGTCCCTCTCTTGAGATGCTCGGAAACAGTACAAGAAGGGTTCGAAGTAGAGAAAGAAGACTCGCACAAAGTGCACTTGACTTTGACTGCTTTAGGAAGGTTTTGGATCAAAATGGGTTCAAGATGTGCCCAGTACCAAGCTCCTTCCCCTTTAATCGCCTTGGTTCAAACCGTGACTAGACCTTCGTATCACTTGTTCAATGCTTTGAGGGCCAAGTCTTGTGTAGTTGAAGATTGTGGAGCTGAAAAAGTATCAGTTGGGGTCCATATAGCATTGTGAGCCATTGAAGATATAGGTTGGTGTGTGCGTGTGTATATCTGAGAGAAGAATCCGAAGCAAACCCAGAGATTGTTGGTATCTATCATTGTAGTTATATGTTTACGGGTGTTGGTGACTGGAAGCCGAAGGGGAGGGGGGGTTGTGGTGGAGGGAGGAGGGCTAGCTGGCAGCAGTTGTGGCCAGCGAAATTGTAGAGGTGCTGAGGAGAGAGAGTTTGACAATATCAAAAGTTTAAATGTAACAATAAGGGACAAATTAATCATGATTTAAATAGATTAACGAGTGAATTGACAATATCAAAAATTCAGATGTAAAAAATTGCTCAGACGAGTATAATTTGCGAGGAAAAATGAAATTTCCTCTAAAAACCAAGACCCAGATGTAATAGAGATTCAGAAGCCAAGTGCATTTTGATCCTGAAGAAAAGTTTTATCCGTAGTACAACAAACATGAACACTTAATTCTACTACCTCAGGTCCCAAAAAAAAAAATATATATATATATATAACATTTTTCTCCAACTTTAGGTAACACTTTTTATCTCCTCTTGTTTGAAGAGCTCACAAAGATATTATAATAGCAAGAATCAGTAATATGGAAGAACTTCTGGATATGTTCTACCTACAAACTTCAATTTGTGCTTGCACTTCAGACATTTGTGAATACTTCTGGAATTGATCCTCTGAAAAAGCAGATTCTTCTTTAATCGTAGAGCTGAGTCATTTATTTCCTCTTTCCTGTGCCGATGGTTAACAGCTCAAAGCTCCGAAGAGGATCATCACGGCTGGCCCTTGTGGCTGCAGCACGGGTGAAAGATGATGATTTGGACTCGAAACCAGGTTGAATCCTTTGGGTAGTAGACAGACGACCGCTGCCTGAAATCAACCGGCTTGGTCGATTCTCACTGATGCCACCGGATGAACTCGGTTGGCTGCTTGACGTGACAACCCTTTTCGAAGTACTTCCATTTCGAGAAATGCGACCTCGTTCAGAGTCAGCTTGCTGAAAGTAGAAGAGGCAAAGAACAATCAAGAATTGAACTTCCAGGGATGAAAATGAGCATCAGATATATATAAAAGTAAATAAATAAATAAAATATAAAATATAAAAAAAATTACTAACCACATCCTTTGATGATGGTACATCGTCCGAAGATCTCTGTCTAGAGTGATCAGTGTGCCTGGAGTGTTCACCATGCAAGCCGGGACCAGAACCATTCCTTCTAGCAAATGCCTCAACTCCGCCTGAGAATCTATCTCGAACCTCTTGCCTCACTGGATGAAATGCATAATGGCCAAAACTCAGAATTACCCTTCTTTTCATTATAAATGAAACAGGCTGCAGAATTTTTTATAAAAAAACAATTATATACACCACTTTAATTTTAGGGCAATTACCTGTGAGTTGCATTCTCACAAAAATATTACAAATTAAAAAAAAAAAGTTTTAAGAATTTAATTATTAATATAAATAAAGTTTATCATAGATTTGTAATTATTTTTTAAATTATACACTGAATAGTAATTTCCCCTAAGTTTTAAACCATACAAGTGCAACACCAAAGTTCCCAAGCTCCAACAACTGATTTCACTTCACTCCACCAGAAAAATTGCCGAGCATAAAATTCTAGTACTCAGATGCACAAAGACCTTAAACTACATCCAAAGATCGGCTATCAAATTGAATCAATTAAAACAACAAATTCATTAACTCATTGTGAAACCTTGATGAGATAAGAAACATACCTGGAGCCCTTTCAGCTCTTTCTGCAGATGGTCCTGGGTTCAAAGCTAATTTCCCAACTGGCTGCAGAAGAAAGATGAGAGGAATAACGCAAGGATCATTTATTAAAAGAATATAAATAATTTCAAGCAAATGTGAAGTACTAACCCGTGCTCTGGAACTGGAACTGGAACTGGAACCAGAACCAATCTGTGGATACTTCAAAATAGTCCAGTCAAATACATAGTCAAACTGATAACCTGCACCGATTAGATCGTAACAAAAATAATAAGAAGCTACGATACCTTTCACAATTGAAATTAACACCAGCTTTCAGTTAGAACATTAAATGTCACAATGAAAATAAAAAATTAAACAAAAAAACAAAAGACAATTACAAATACAAATACAAATACAAGGATGGGAATTCAAAAGCAAAATTTTTAAAGGTGAATGCGTACCTCGAGATGTTAAACCCCTCACGAGGCGAGGCGTAAACCTCAGGGCATTGAGACGTAAGCATTTTAAATTTCAAATTTTAATATTTATTGAATAAATTAAATATTTTAAAATAGTAAAAAATAAATAAAAACTAAACTAAATATAAAAGTGTAAATACTTTTCGCTTTAAGGCGTTGGCATAGAATGAAGTTTTCCTTCATTGAAAGCGAAATTAATATTCTTAACTTTAGTGATTAAGCTTTTCACTTGACCATTAACTGTGTTTTTTCTTTATTGATCATTTACTTAATTTTTTATGCAAAATATAGTTTGCAAAAAGGGATTCTTTTTATTTTTTTATGTTTAAACAATCTAATAGACTAAGAGGGTGTTTGGGATGATCTAAATAAATGTACTTTTTGACTTTTTACGAAAAGATGTGCAAAAAAATAGAAAGGTAATGTGATCCAAAAAACATAAAAAGATAAAAATTATGTTTTTTTAGGTTATGCCAAATAGTTCCTAAGTTTAACAAAAGCTCAAGGCAACCTCTGCATGTGCGTACTCCTCCCATGCTCATGCGCAAAAAGCGTACAAAGCGCACCTAAGGCTCATGTCTCAAACTATGACGCGCAAGCCTTTCAGGAGTAATGCCTAAAAATCAAAGCCTTGATGCGTTTTACCTTGGCCTCGAGAGAAGGTGAGGCGAGCATTGAGGCAAGCCTCAAGAAAGCCTTTTAAAACTCTATTCAAAAGTACAGTATACCTTCTCGAATAAATAGGTCGCGGAAAAGCTTCTTAAGGTATGAATAATCTGGTTTGTCATCAAATCGCAATGATCGACAATAATGGAAGTATGATATGAATTCTGATGGATGAGATTTGCAAAGAACCTGCAAACATCATGTTAGAATTTCATTTAGATAAACAAAGCTATCAATGGCTAGAAGATTTTTTTACAAATGCAGATACCACAAATAGGACAGGTGATCTAACAACACAGTGATTATCCTATCCTGTATGAACCCCTATACCATATATTAATAATAATGAAATTCTGTCTAAGCAATTTGGCTCTCAATAGCAAGTGATGTTACCTCTATGGGAGTAAGCATCTTCTTTTCACTAATTTTGTCATATTTCTGCTTTTTAGTGCCAGCTTTCAAACCCTGCCAAGGAAGGCTAAGACACAAATCACATGAACAGAGTTAGATATTTAAAATATAAAATAAAAATAAAAAAGGGAAGAAGAAGAACAAGGGAAGTAAAGCTTCCATCAGATGTTACACCTTCCCCGCAGAAAATACATAAGAACGTAACCAAGAGATTCCAGATCATCCCTTCTGCTTTGCTCTGCATGTAATAATGCAAAATGACAACTAGGCGAAATGTAACTCTAATAAATGTGAGTATATGCTAGTATGGGACACCCCATATTTGGTCAAAAGCTTGAAACTAGTTAAATTCACTCACCAACTCCAAGGTGGGTGTTAACACTGGCATAACGAGCTGTGCCCGTAAGATTTTTATTTTCCCTGTAAGAAAATATTTGGGAAGTATCCATGACAATTATAAAAGCAGAAAACTAACAAAAGAAGAAAAAAGTTCAGTTAAAATCATGTAAACAAAGAAAGGCAAAAATGATAAAAATAAAGGGTAAACAGTCAAGAAGCAGGCATTCCCTGGATGTCATAGATATACATAGCATATAAATATCACAGGAAGCACCAGACCAGCCTATGGAAGAAAGAGATCATTGAGACTATTGAGCCAAGCTAAGGTTTGGAACCATAGTTTTTTAAATTTATATATTGATCCATATATGTACAAACTGTAAAGACATATTTGCCATCATGGCTTGGAATCAACCATTGGGTTCGCCTATACTTCAATTACAATTCCTCTTCGGATGCCAATCAGTGTGTTCGCCTATACTTCAGTTTGTTAATTTTGTGCGCGTTGCAATATGTTAAAACCTATCACCTACTTCACCCACTTAAACCTACTCCACTAAACCTAACCCACTACACCACTACCACCTCACCTACTCCACTAAACCTAACCCACTACACCACTACCACCTCCAATTCACCTACTCCTTACCTACTACACACTCACCCTCTTCTATATATAGGAATCATGAATCATTGTAATAAATATAACATTCAATCAATCAATAATACATTAATTTTTTACATGGTATCAGAGCAGATTTAGAACCTATTATTTTCGCTTCACCGGCGGGCGGCAACCTCACCTTAGCCGTCCGCCGGACCTCAACCAAATTCCGCTAAAGTTTTCTACACGCCCTCACATCTCACCTACTCCACTAAACCTAACCCACTACACCACTACCATCTCACCTACTCCACTAAACCTAACCCACTACACCACTACCATCTCACCTACTCCACTAAACCTAACCCACTACACCACTACCATCTCACCTACTCCACTAAACCTAACCCACTACACCACTACCATCTCACCTACTCCACTAAACCTAACCCACTACACCACTACCATCTCACCTACTCCACTAAACCTAACCCACTACACCACTACCATCTCACCTACTCCACTAAACCTAACCCACTACACCACTACCATCTCACCTACTCCACTAAACCTAACCCACTACACCACTACCATCTCACCTACTCCACTAAACCTAACCCACTACACCACTACCATCTCACCTACTCCACTAAACCTAACCCACTACACCACTACCATCTCACCTACTCCACTAAACCTAACCCACTACACCACTACCATCTCACCTACTCCACTAAACCTAACCCACTACACCACTACCATCTCACCTACTCCACTAAACCTAACCCACTACACCACTACCATCTCACCTACTCCACTAAACCTAACCCACTACACCACTACCATCTCACCTACTCCACTAAACCTAACCCACTACACCACTACCATCTCACCTACTCCACTAAACCTAACCCACTACACCACTACCATCTCACCTACTCCACTAAACCTAACCCACTACACCACTACCATCTCACCTACTCCACTAAACCTAACCCACTACACCACTACCATCTCACCTACTCCACTAAACCTAACCCACTACACCACTACCATCTCACCTACTCCACTAAACCTAACCCACTACACCACTACCATCTCACCTACTCCACTAAACCTAACCCACTACACCACTACCATCTCACCTACTCCACTAAACCTAACCCACTACACCACTACCATCTCACCTACTCCACTAAACCTAACCCACTACACCACTACCATCTCACCTACTCCACTAAACCTAACCCACTACACCACTACCATCTCACCTACTCCACTAAACCTAACCCACTACACCACTACCATCTCACCTACTCCACTAAACCTAACCCACTACACCACTACCATCTCACCTACTCCACTAAACCTAACCCACTACACCACTACCATCTCACCTACTCCACTAAACCTAACCCACTACACCACTACCATCTCACCTACTCCACTAAACCTAACCCACTACACCACTACCATCTCACCTACTCCACTAAACCTAACCCACTACACCACTACCATCTCACCTACTCCACTAAACCTAACCCACTACACCACTACCATCTCACCTACTCCACTAAACCTAACCCACTACACCACTACCATCTCACCTACTCCACTAAACCTAACCCACTACACCACTACCATCTCACCTACTCCACTAAACCTAACCCACTACACCACTACCATCTCACCTACTCCACTAAACCTAACCCACTACACCACTACCATCTCACCTACTCCACTAAACCTAACCCACTACACCACTACCATCTCACCTACTCCACTAAACCTAACCCACTACACCACTACCATCTCACCTACTCCACTAAACCTAACCCACTACACCACTACCACCTCACCTACTCCACTAAACCTAACCCACTACACCACTACCACCTCACCTACTCCACTAAACCTAACCCACTACACCACTACCACCTCACCTACTCCACTAAACCTAACCCACTACACCACTACCACCTCACCTACTCCACTAAACCTAACCCACTACACCACTACCACCTCACCTACTCCACTAAACCTAACCCACTACACCACTACCACCTCACCTACTCCACTAAACCTAACCCACTACACCACTACCACCTCACCTACTCCACTAAACCTAACCCACTACACCACTACCACCTCACCTACTCCACTAAACCTAACCCACTACACCACTACCACCTCACCTACTCCACTAAACCTAACCCACTACACCACTACCACCTCACCTACTCCACTAAACCTAACCCACTACACCACTACCACCTCACCTACTCCACTAAACCTAACCCACTACACCACTACCACCTCACCTACTCCACTAAACCTAACCCACTACACCACTACCACCTCACCTACTCCACTAAACCTAACCCACTACACCACTACCACCTCACCTACTCCACTAAACCTAACCCACTACACCACTACCACCTCACCTACTCCACTAAACCTAACCCACTACACCACTACCACCTCACCTACTCCACTAAACCTAACCCACTACACCACTACCACCTCACCTACTCCACTAAACCTAACCCACTACACCACTACCACCTCACCTACTCCACTAAACCTAACCCACTACACCACTACCACCTCACCTACTCCACTAAACCTAACCCACTACACCACTACCACCTCACCTACTCCACTAAACCTAACCCACTACACCACTACCACCTCACCTACTCCACTAAACCTAACCCACTACACCACTACCACCTCACCTACTCCACTAAACCTTCCCCCACTTAAACCTACTCCACTAAACCTAACCCACTACACCACTACCACCTCCAATTCACCTACTCCTTACCTACTACACACTCGCCCTCTTCTATATATAGGAATCATGAATCATTGTAATAAATATAACATTCAATCAATCAATAATACATTAATTTTTTACACAATATTTGTTATTGGACTTGATTTGCTCTTTATTTTGAATTAGACTGATTTATCATCCATATAAAAAAAAACACGGAAAACTGCACTTTACCACCCGTAATTTCAGTCATGCACATAACCCTCTTGTCATTTGTAAATAACCATTTAACCCCAAATAGTTGAACTAAAAATACTATTTCATATATTTTTATTTGCCATGCCAAGGCCAGTCACGGACTTGCTAAATGCTTAGTGAGAAAAGAAAGTTCATTTGAAGTTTTTCCCGTGTCTTATATGGTGTGCAAAAGAGAAATTAGAAGAATCTTTGAAGATAAAGAACAGTTTTCTCAAGGCATAAGTCCATTAAGGATGTTCACCGAAACTCCTCATCTTTATCACCATCCTGCTTCCCCATTCAGGGAAAATCATTGCCTGCATGTTGGGCTCCCCCTTTTCTTTTACTCATGTCTCATTATTAGCTATAACACCTCCTAAGTCTCTTTGATTTATCCCCACCAACAACACAACAGCACAAAGAACACTCACGAGTACCATGTATTTCAGGGAAATTGTGCCAAATTAAAAAAACTAAGACAACTGATGTAGGCCAAAAGGAACCACATTGAGGCCGCTTAAGTTACATTTATAATCTTTGAACTTCGTTTAATTGGTAGAGATGATATGTTTTGTGCATTTGTATTGATTTGGCAGGCAACACACAAATTCAAGCAAAAAGTGGCGCAAAAGCAAACTCTCCGTGCGAGTAGTGAAAATTTCCGACCTGCCACCTCACCACACGTGCAGCCAGGCTCCACCGCACTTGCAGCCCACCACTGCTCGAGCGGAAATTAGGGCCACTATAGGGTTGCGTGCACGAAAATTTCAGTCTGTTCTACTTGGAATAAAAGGAAGAAAAGAGGCTACTCTTAGGGTTCAAAAATATTTCAAGGAAAATGAGACGCTAAGGTTTGAAGAAAGGAGATTCTCAAGCTTCAAGGATAATTTCATGGAGGCTTCCTTTTCTTCTACTTCTTCCCACTCCTCCATGAGTGGCTAGGCTCCTATTTCTAGGGTTTTGATGAAACCCTAGCCAAGTAAACAGGCTTTCTTTTTTATTTTCTTTTATGTAATGATTTGAACAATTGTATGGTTCTCAAGAAGTTTTCAAATATAATTTTACATTATTTCTTCAAATATTCTTCTTTCTGTGATTATTGAATGCTTCCCATGCAATGGTTTTCTGTACTTTCATGTTCAAGGTATGAGACGAGTCATACTACGAGGGGACGAGCCGTGTTGCTACCCTAGTTTAGAGCGAACGACTTGTACTACTTGAGATGGTTCATGCCTATACATTGAACGTGTTAATTTTCTTGATAAATGCTTCGAGCTTCTAGTTGCGAAGTATTATTTAGTTAGAACCGTAACATAATTGAGTCTCGAATTGAAGCTGTATTTATGTAACTAGTTGTAAATTCATTACCCTAGATTTTTCTCAAAATCAGTAAGTTCCAATTTACTTTTAATTGCTTAGTTTAATCTCTTAATTTATTTTAATTATTACTAGTTTATGAATCATCATCTTTTTAATCAAAATTGAATTAGGAATTTAGCAATTAAATTAGTTTAATTTCTTGTTTGTCCCTGTGGATCGATACCTATACTTACCATTGTTCTAAGGAATTTGATACAGTTTAGTGTTTATTTTTGGTGTGTGGACCCATCAACAACAATGCCCTGAGACATTAGTGCCAGTGAGTAGAAATAATTATGTGATAAATTGACAATCCATGTATGCAAAAACGCCTAGTTCTCTTTCACAAAGGATTCATGAGTATCATGTATTGTGGAATAATTGTCTAAAATATTACCTGATATTTTTATTTTATTTTTTTGTTTTATTTTGATAAGTAAAATATTTCCTGATAATTTAAAAACCGTGAACTTGTACTTATCCTCAAAAATAAATAAATAAATGACAAGCATTGATATAACATTAACTTCCCTTCACTTGCCACCCTAAACATCTAAATAAACATTAATATCATATGGCAAGCTTATATATAAATTGCATAAATGGATTCAAACACCTGAGCGATATAGTTGAAGTGGACAACAAACACCATTATATCAAACTCTCAAAACTCATGGAAAATCATTTCAATTACCTGTATGGTATGTGCTTGTGTGTTTGAAGATCTCTATACTTTTTTGCAAGGCCATAGTCAATGATGTATACCTGAAATTTTACAAAAAGGAACAAAAAAGAAAAAAGAAAGTTGAGGTATAGATGCATAAAGCAAATCCTAGGAGTTGCTAACTTTTACACATTAAAGAAGAAAAGCAATAATATCAGTCCACATTTCCATGTAAATATCAGGTTGCCAAGGGACAGTGAAATTTCACAAAAGCAAATTTAAAAAAATATAATAATAACAATAATAATTGACTGCAGATTAGATAAGTGCAAGCTCAAATGAGCTAAATGAAATAAAAAGCCTATATCGGTCTTTTACGCCCTAGCCTCTTCCTCTTCATGATATAAATTAATTGTAGTCGTACCAAGGCTGATAAGAGTTGAATACATTCCATCATCACACAACTATATTTAAAATTTCTAATGTCTTTTTTATGTAATCCAAATCCTCCATTAAAAAATAAATAAATACCTAGGAATAAAATCAAACAATTGGTTGGTCAGAATCAAACATCAGAGTTATTCAACATATTGACTGTCAATCCTAAGTTAACAATCATTTTAAGCTTTTAATACTATGGACTCTAAATTAAAAATTGCATCAAAATGCCAAATCCAGACTTTCACAGTTAAATTTTCCTTAATAAAATAATGAATAAAATACTAGTCATCAAGAAAATCAGGGCTTCCAATCTACAATCAGAAGATACAAGAAAATGGAGGAAATGAGGTTCAACTACACTCAGCAGTGATAGTGTGGTAATAATTTCAAGAACAAATGGGCGAAGAGAAACATTAATTGTCCAACAAAGTACACTTCTTCAAATGGTCATTTATGATCCCATCCTTTTGCATTAGTTGCAGACCAAGACACATATATAATAACAGAATATGATCATATCCCAGGTTTGAACTTTAAAATGTGAAGCAATGGTTTAGAATAATATGATTTCAATCTTAACCAAGGAATAATTGGTGAATGATAAATCCATATTATTAGGTCCAAATTACAAGTTCCTCCTATTGTGAGACATGACACGTGATTCTCCTTCTGATAGCAATCACATCTCAGCTTTAAGATTCCCAAGCACAGCATGCTTAGCTCTTAGGTCCACGTGATAAGTTGATAACACTATTTTCTCCAAATTTCATTTAGATAGTTGAAGTTCATAATTAATTAAAAAGTGTCTAAATTTTTACAATGTTTGGTATTGCATTTAAAAGACATCTTGAGTTTGCCTAAAGCAAATTAAGTCCAAAAATTATTTCAAAATATCAAAAACTAACCCTTAAGCAGTGATGGAATAAGATCATTAAATCAAGAACATCCAATTTTTTAGGTCTTTCAGAACTTTGAGTATTACATGGTAATAAAAAGACAGCCTTCATGGGGCTAGAACCCCCACCATAGATTATAGGGAATTGACTAATATTAGCACAGTAATACATATTTTATACGCTGATACAATGGATATACTACCCAGAAAGAATTTTTCCCCTTTAGCTTATAACTTACTGCAGTCCAAATAACAAGTACAATATGCATGAACAATTTCTTCACATGAAAAGTTTCTAAGAATTCTGACAGTTGTCCTTGTCTTGTTCCTTCTTAATTCTACTTTTAGCCTTTTATCACCATTTGTTAATAAAGCATTCATAATGATCAAATAATGTCAAATCATATACTCCATCTTATCCCTTGGACTGTGCATCATAGGATCTGAAAGATTTTGAAAATATGTAACTCTTCAGCAATAAGAATGTGAATAAATGAAGTCCATTAATATGATGAATCAAGAAATATTTTCAACATTATCACTTCGTGATCCAGCATTGCCTTATAAAACCTTAATATAATTTCATATACAAAACAAATATGCATTAATTTACAGCCTTTACACATCCATACAAATAAATGTGTGTGCATTTGTATATATACTTGAAACATTTTCTTTACCTCCAACATGGAGGACATAAATATAGCCAATCATGTTTTCAGAATTTGTGTGATGAAGATATTCCCTTAGAGGAGTCCAAAATTGTGATACTTTTTAACTCTCCTTAAGTATACTTTTTATCTACTCATCTTTCTAAATCAAGTTCAGGTCCAGCTAACCTGTAAGTAAACAATTGATCATTCTTCAAAAATGCCAACATGATGACAGTGGCCAAGTATAGTACATACCATTTATTGTGTAATATATGCATCTACGACAATACAAAGTCAAAATGGGGTACATTATCAATATAGTATCATTTTACATTACCTTGTATCCTATTGCATGTATTATAAGCCTTCAAAATTGGGACAGCAATACAAACCCGTCAAACAAGATCTCACCCAGTATTTTCATTCTCAATTTCAAAGACAAGTCAAACTTAGAATCTTATACTAGAACTAAATGGTTGAAAGCATCAATGCATAGAAGAGTCGCAATGCAACAAGCATGTAACACCAACATAAATACAAATACAAAAGCACCTCACAAAAGAACAAACCTGATTTGCTTTGCGCCCTAGACCCATTAGAAAGTTGTCAGGCTTTATATCACGGTGAAGAAAACCTCTAGAGTGCATATACTCAACTCTATTAATCTATGAAAAACATCAAGAAGAAGCATAAGTAGAGCAGATACAATAACTAGGCAAACCGATCACTAAATACATATATCATCACTAGGCAAATATTTCTTTCAGGCATTGTGCACTTACTAACTGATCCGCAAGCATTAAAACTGTTTTTAATGTGAACTTCCTATTGCAATAGTTGAACAAGTCTTCCAGGCTTGGCCCAAGAAGGTCAATAACCATTGCATTGTATTCGCCTTCAACTCCAAACCATTTGAGGTGGGGAACACCAGCTTCACTCAATAAATATGAAATACATACATACAATTATTTTGGTTCAGGAAATCATGTTCAATCACAAAAAGGAAAAACAAGAAGAGAAAACTCACTTCCTCCTTGAAGAAGCATGTACAATTTTGATTCATAGTGAAGCTGAGGATGCTTAGTCTTTACTGGTTCCTAAACCAAAAAATATCAAAAAAAAAAAAAACCAAACCAAACCAAACCAAAACAAAACAAAACAAGAGAAGACAAAATTTAAAATATATATATAAAAAAAAAAAACTTGCTAGGTATCAAAAGAAATTTGTGGCTGAATAGAAATTTTGGGGAACAAAATTTCTTTTTTGTACGCACAACACCAATGGTTTTCAGTATGATGCACCCTCAACATCTTCCACATACAACAACACAAATGGGTATAAGCATACAGATCTAAAAATTGTACTTGGAAGAAAAGTGACAACACTTAAAGCCCAATAATGTCTCTAAGCGAGACTAGTGAGGTGTGTGCTAGCAATAATGTTATAAAAAATGAAAAATAAAAACACTAATTGGATAAACATTTTACCTTCACAGGCAAAAACAACTTCAAGACTCCCTTGGAGCAAGATATTGAAAAACTAAAGGAGAAATAACATGCAAAATGGTGTCTGTGAGGTAAACTAAAGGCCGAAAACATTGTCTAGTAAGCCCACACTGTGACTATAGAAAATCAACTTTCTGGATTCCATGTTGGTCAGCCAACTTACATAGCTTTGTTGGCCCACCTAGCGGGTATAAACCTACCTAGACCTATCCTAGTCGACCAACCTATACGGTCTGGTTACCATTGACTAGACACAAACCCGGTTGACCATGTTGACAACATGAACTATCAAGTCCTATCTTGAAGATATTCTTAGTCATAGCCTCATTGAGAGTCATCTTCAAGTTTCCTAGGCTCCACTCCATGTTTCCTTCATCTTGCGAAGGCCTCTAGGCTTGCCAATGTGCTTCCAAAGGTAGTGATTTAGGTTCTTACCTCAGGTCAGATAGTAGAAATGCCATGGATTTGTAAAAGAGCCATGAACATAAACAGTCATGAAATTGCCAACCTATGCTAATCCTAGCACTAATAAGCTCTGGGTCTAGAATTCCTCTTTGAAGAAAATAGTTAAGTCAATTACTTAAATTAGACTTGCAATTAAAACCAGAACCAACGCCAGCCAAAAAAAATAAGCATACCAGGGATATACAATTGACACCATGAGGGAGATAAGACAAACTGAATTTTATGATTTCATTTTACTATAAACATTGGCAACCAAGGTAGACAAAGATTTTCAACTCATACGTCCAAATATTATATTATCTCCCAAGGTCCTTCATTTCAAACTAAAGCCATAGGTTTCTTTCTTTTCACTGTTTGTTATCAATAGTTAACCATGAAACATACAAACTACTTTGGAACACCATTTTCCATTCAGTTGAAAAAACATTTGGCTGCTCGGAATACAAGTCCTCACATATAAATTCTGCTTCCAAACTTCATTGAAAATAAAAATAAAAATAAAAAGAACAAAGAAGAAGTCAATGCCTTCCTTTTAAATTTTAGTGGTACTTAAACCATCAACAAATCTAAAAACAAGTTAAATCAGAGCATCTGTAAAAAAGATATTTCTGGTCCTTGGCTTACAGGGATCAATCTAGGTAGAGTGCAACAACAATTGTTAGTGAGAACTGACAATAAACTGAATTGGCATGTACAAAAAGCAAATTCCTTCACAAATGAGAAGTGGTACTACAAGACAGAAAAAGTCACGAAAACATAAACGACATATCTATCATCAACTACACCTAGCAATAAATGGAACCATCCAAAGAAGAAAGATTTAGTACTCATACCATTAACAAATTCACGAATCATTTTGCATAACTACTAAATACAAAACATCCAACACCAAGATCAAGCAAGCTCTTCGCATATCAAAACACATACGTACCAGTTTCACAGCGACTTCCTCTCCACTTTGTACATTAACTCCTGAAACAAATTTTAAAATATAACATTATAACTAAGTTTTGTTTGGGGGGAGGGAGGAAAAAGAAGAACAGAATGCCAATTGAGAAAACAAATTGCATATACCCAAATACAGCTCGCCAAACGATCCGCTCCCAATCTTCCGCCCAAGCTTGAACTTTCCACCAATCACATGATCCATAGTTTGATCCCCAATTAAAACAGACTTCTTTAAAGAGCCCAAAATTTCAATCTTTTTCTTCTTTTCAAACTCGAACCCAATTCACCATCCCAAACCCCACAACACCCAAAACTCTGCCCCAATTAGGTGCCCAACACTAAAATCTCCAGACAATTTTCAGATCCACCAAAACCCACCATTCAAAAATCATCCAAGCCCTCCACAATCCCCCAATTATATATCAATAATAAAAAAAAATATTTAAAAACCCTTAATCTCAAAACAAAATATTATACGCGTTAATCTATAAACAACGTATTTTTATCATCAAAAGAAATACCAACAAATCAATGAATCAAAAAAAACCCTAGAATCTACGTCATCGGACATTGGAAACCCTAAATCTGAAACAAATGGTTACGAATCGAAACCCTAGTTTGAATATACATTAGTCTGCAAAGTAGATGAGAAAAATATGCAATGAATATACAGAGAGAGAAGGAATACAAAAAACCCGATTTGGAGGAATCGAAATGCTGGGAATTTGAAGTAAGAAATAAAGAATCCAAGAAAAACGAAATTGACGGGGCAAAATTTGTATAGATTTTTCAGAGAGAGAAGGGTTTGGAGAGAATTTTATTTGCAATAATCTCAGGAAAAGAACAAAGGTTGGACGAGAGAGAGCCAAAGAGAAGGAAAAGTAAAATAAAATGGCTAAAAGGGGCAAAATTAAGAAAAGATGTGATTATTTGGATTTTTTTAATTTTCTGCTACTTATATTTGTTACGATACATTCTTTTATTTTATTAGAAAATTGTGTTTGTAATTATTTATATATATTAATTGTAATTTTTAAATGTCTTTTTTTATTTTTTTAATATCTTTTTTTTTATAATATTAAAGTTAATATTTTGATAATAATTATATGTGTTAAACTTTTTAAGAATTTTTTTTTATGCTTGTTTTTAATGCATTAAAGTGTTATTACGAGGGATAATAATCATATGTGTTGGATTTCAAAGAATTTTTTTATACTTGTTCTTAATGTATTAAAGTGTTATTATGAGGGTAAGACTTGGGAGTTGGGAGAAATTAATAAATGCTAAATTTTTTTTAAATCAAAAAATCAAGAAATTTAGATTGGGAGATTGGAGCTCTCACAAGACTTTGGGCCAAAAATCTCCTTTTGCTTAATATAAAGTACTAGCATGTCACTCGTGCTATGCACGGAATAAAATAATATATTATTTATTAAAAATATGATAATTATATTATATTTTTTATATTTTTTCTCTTGTAAATAAAATTTTATATATAAGTTTAAGAGTTTTGTTTCAAATGTTCCTTTATTATAATATTTACTCATAAACGTATATTAAAATTGTTGTATTGACAATTAGCAATTAAAATTATGCTTTATTAAAAAAATGACATAGTTCTAATACTTTACTATTTTAGAATAAAAATATATGAATTTTAAAAAATTGATATATTGGTTTTTGAAAGGAAAATAATTTAAAAACTTAATGAATAACAAAGAATTATCGTAACATATAATTTAAAATATCAAAAAAAAAGTTAAAAATGAATAAAGACTTTAAAAAGATGTGATTACAATTAAAACTAATGTCATATTTATTAATATGTATAATTTTATTTGGATATTATTTATATTTTAACATGCTTATTGAAAAAATAAATAAATAAAAATAAAAATATTAATAATTTTGAGTTTTAAAATATGATTTTGTAGACTTGCTATATTAACTTTTGGAATGAATATATTGAAATTTTTTTACAAAAATTGAATATTAGTCATTAAACAAATCTTATAAGATTTATAAAATAAAATTTATAATAGCAAGAAATTATTGATATTGCACCATATGCATTTTAACAATTTTAAATTTTGAAAAAAAATAGATTAGGACTTTGAACTTCAATTATTGTACAACATTTTTATTTATGTAATAATATAAATAAGGATAGGTAATAGATAGATTAAAATTAATTATAAATATAGCTTTATTTAAGAGGATGTGGTTTTGTATAGCTATATTTTAAATTCTAAAATTTATTTTTTAACTTCCTATATAAAAAGATTCAAAATTTTAAATTACATATGATTTTTTTCTAAAAACATATGAACTCACAGTGGAGTAAAGGGAGAAGTACCATAAAGGAATAGAAGAGCTGCACATATGAAAGATAAATAATTAAATAATTGACTCATATTAAAGATAAATAATTAAATAATTGACTAATACCTTTAGTAGTTTTGAAAAAATTGATTAAAATTAAAATTTTCTATTTATAAATTTGAAAAACTATTGTATGCCTTTGAAATAATGCTCTGGACCAACTGTCATTAAAAGTAATTTTTTTTTAAAAAAAAGTAATGATATACAAATATAAAATCAATACAAAAAACTTATTAATAAAGATTTTGTTTGGATTTTTATTTATCACTTTATAGTGAGTGACATATTTTTTTTATTATACAAATGACTATCACGCCATTTTAGTATAAAAATTCTAGGAAAACAATATTAACTAACAAAAAATAGTTATAAACAAAAAACAGATAATGGTTGGTAGAGAGGATGAAGAAATGACACACAAAATATGAGGTAAAAAAAAAAAAAAATGGTCATAGATAAAAAAGAAAAAGAAAAAATGATGTACCAAAAAGATAAAAGAGTCTGTTAAAAGAATAGAGCAGGTTAAACATAAACTAACCTCTAATTTGTCTCATAAAAATAAAGTTAAAAAACAATGAGCTTCATTGTTCCATGAATATAATATTTGTAGAGCGAGCAAGACATGAATGACTTGGAAAAAGTATAATGTATGAGGGCTAAGATTTTTGTATAGAAGAAAGAATTGTTAGAAAAAAAAGTGAGAATAATTTTTTCCATCTTTTCTTTTCTAAATTATAAATCATGGAATCATTATAAAAAATAATAAATTATGAGATTTTTCTAAAATATTATATATAGTATAGATATGCATAAATTTGTTTGGGAATAAAATTGTGTTTAATTATGGAATAGATAGAGAATCTAGATATAAGGTTTAATTTTTGTTTTATGTTAGGATTAATTTTAGGTTTATATAGATTAGACCAGTTGTGAAATATTTTAATAGTATACATTTTATGGGAGGTGAGAGAGTTTTTTTTTCATTAGATTCATTTTAGGAGAGAGAAGATTGTATGAGATTTATATTATTTATAAAAAAATTATATTTAAGGTTTTAAAACACTTAGGGCCTCTAAGATAAAAAGTCACTTTGGTATAATATATAGCATATATAGATTATGAGATTTAGGAAAGAGATAAATATTAGAGGAGAGATTTTAGAAACTTGTAATTTAATTTTTTTTTTAAATATATAGTTACTTTGTTAGCCAATAATATTATTTTTAAATATTTTTAAAATTACGAAAATTAGAAATTTTAGTTTTTTTTTAATCTATAGTTATTTTGTTGGCCAATCGTACTAGTTTTGAATATTTTTAAAATTACAAAAATTAGCAATTGTGGTTTTACGTTTTTTTTAATCTATAATGTTTTTTTTTTAAATATATAACTACTTTGTTATGAGATGAGATTTGTGTGTGTGTATGTGTGTGTGTGTGTTTTTTTTTTAAATGTATAGTTACTTTATTATGAGATGGGATTTAGGAAATAGAGAAATATTGAGGGGAAGAGATTTTACGAACTTGTAATTCAAAATTTTAGGTAGTTTTTTTTTTTTAATCTATAATTACTTTGATAGCCTATAGAATTATTTTTAAATATTTTTAAAATCACAAAAATTAACAATTGTGGAATGAGAGTTTAGAACTCTCATAAGCCTTTTCTTTATATAATATAGATAAATATAGATATTTATATTTGTTTTAGATATTTTTTAATATGTAAATTATTATTTTTAGATTTTTTTATAAAAATAATTTAATAATCTCATCACTAACTATAGTGTATGAGAGAAGTTGAAAAGGATGCAGCAATAACTATAAGAGAAGTCAAAAAGATTTGTGGATTGATAGAAGTCAATAAATATTTAGATTATTATTTTTTTTAAATCAAAAAATTAGAAAATTAATATTTGAATATTAGAACTCCCACAAGACTTGTTAGTTAGAAAACCCCTTTTTCCTTAGAAACCCCTTTTAGGTGGTTTTTTTTTTTTTCTTTTTTTGAAAAAAAAAATCTATAATTACTTTGTTAGCCAATAGAATTATTTTTAAATATTTTTAAAATCATAAAAATTAACAATTGTGGAATGAGAGTTTTGAACTATGACAAGCCGTTAGCCTTTCCTCTATATAATATATAGATAGATATAGATATTTATATTTTTTAATATGCAAATTATTATTTTTAGATTTTTTGTAAAAAATAATTTAATAATCTCATCACTAACTATAGTGTATGAGAAAAGTTAAAAAGGGTGCTGCAATAACTATAAGAGAAGTCAAAAAGGTTTGTGGATTGGGAGTCAATAAATGCTAAGATTATTATTTTTTTTAAATCAAAAAATTAAAAAATTAAGATTGGGATATTGAAGCTCCCACAAGACTTGTTAGTTAGAAATACCATTTTCCATAAATATAGACTAGCATATCACCCGTGCTATGCACAGATTGTGTTTACAATTATCTATATATGTGAATTGTGATTTTTAAATATTTTTTTTTAAATGTCTTTTTTTTCCTTTTTTATATTATATTAAAGTTTAATATTTTAATAATAATCATATGTGTTGGACTTTTTAAGGAATTAAATGCCTTTTTTTTATTATATTATATTAAAATTTAATATTTTGATAATAATCATATGTGTTATATTTTTCAACAAAATTTTTTTTATGCTTGTTCTTAATGCATTAAAGTGTTATTATGAGAGATAATAATTATATGTGTTGGAATTTTTCAAGAAATTCATATGTGTTTGATTTCAAGAAATTTTTTTTATACTTGTTCTAATGCATTAAAGTGTTATTATGAGAGATAATAATTATATGTATTGGAATTTTTCAAGAAATTCATATGTGTTTGATTTCAAGAAGTTTTTTTTATACTTGTTCTTAATGCATTAAAGTGTTATTATGAGAGATAATAATTATATGTATTGGAATTTTTCAAGAAATTCATATGTGTTTGATTTCAAAGAATTTTTTTTATGTTTATTCTTAATGCATTAAAGTGTTATTGGTCTTGTTTAGTGTAGCTGTTAAAACAGATTATAGATTATAGCTTAACAGATTATAGATTATAATTTTAATCAGAAGCTATTAATCTGTTTGGTATACCTGTTGGATTATAGATTTAAGTTGTTGAGTAGTGTTTGTTAAATAAGCTATGAAGTAACTTTTTCAATTAACTTTTATCTTTTATTATTCACTATTTGTCTACATTTCTCATAAAAAATAATAATAATATTTTATAATCCATTTGTCTTTTTCTATTTTTAAAAAAATAAAAAAAAAATCTAAGAGTATAATCGTGAATTAACATGTCCACAACAGAAACTGATAATCAGAAGTAAGGGTTGAGCAGCTTCTCAGAATCAGCTTTTTTGACTTAAAATAAGTTATTAGAATCAGAAGCTGTTTGAATTAAGTTTAACCAAACAGTCCAAAATAATTTTTTAAAAGCTAGAAGTCATAAGTTGGCTTAAAAAAGCCCCACCAAACACCCGCATTATGAGGATAAGACT